TTGTTGGCATTTTGCGTGCCATGTTAAGTCACAATCAATGCATTTTATGGAGCATGCTTTAGTAATATTAACGGAACATTTATTGCATACGGGCATCTTAAATAGACGGAAAAAGAATAAAAAGAAATATAAAGTACGCAAAAACAAATTATATATCGATATACACTGGAATATAGGTAATAAATATAGAAATAGCGATAAGCGACCGACGAAAAATGCAATACGACCGTACAGGTCAACGTACAGCAGATAACTATAGTTTTTAATAAATCTTTATGAGTGGCAGGAGTCAAGTATTGAAAATCGTATCAAAATTGTTTTCTTCATTAATATGATTAAATTTGAATGATGAAGATAGTTCACCAGTTATCACTCTCATTGGCTAAGTATGAGCACTTAAAGTTAATTTTTTAGCATCACACATGAATCATTAAAGATCCTATTCTATTGGCAAGTTTTTCTTTCGATTTGATTACCATTTGGCCAAAAGTAGTCGATTTCGCAACTTCAGGTACTGACATTTTGCTTATTTTGAATGCTTTTAAGCATTCGATGTGGTGATCCTGTTTAAGATGTTCATCAATAGTTACAGTTCTATACTGGGCACCTAAGTCCTGACAGATCTTTGGAACTTGAGTTTTTTTAGAATACATTTTGACAAGTTCTGGGAATTTGTGACATATTATACATCTAACAAAATGTTTACCTCCTCTGTGCATATGATCAAATGTTTTGGAAAGTTTTGGCTTTTCGGTCATAATCATAGAGGGATTTGAAAAACTATTTTGGGTTGATTTAATCGATGAAGAAAAATCACGAGAAGTTGTGGTGGTTGTTGTAGTTTCTGTGGTTGTTACATGACTTTCTGATGAAGAAGTTTTTGTGTTAGTGCTATGAGATGTTATTGATTCTGATAAAGCAGATGATGAATCCAAAGACGTGGGAGGTGCCATTATCGGTTTCACTAACCAATTATTCAAACAATTCGATGTCATACTTATTATTTATATTATAAAATATGAATAACCCAAACAAAAAATTTAAACATGTAGAAAATAATTGTTCAAAAGATAAAGACAAGTGAATTTCAATTAAAAGCATCTAATAAAATATACAAGTTGGTGAATTCGATACCAATTTCTGTATTAAAATATTTAATATTTTCATTTAATTAATTTGTTTATAATATTATTTAACGTTTAATATTACATTTTTCTAATGCAATAATGCACCATTCACGTAGTCATTTGTACACGAGCCATCAACATTTTTTTTCTAAATTTATATTAACTTAAGAGGGCGCTACACCCGTATACTATGTTGTCTCTGTCTTTCAAACGTAAAATATAGCAACAACTATTTTGGCGCGGGAAAGAACCGAGAAGACTACAGTATTGACTAAGGAACACAATTTTCACAACATTAAAAGGACAATTTTAGCTGTGAAATATCGTTTTTATATTTTTGATACTAGAAGTACAAAAAAAAAATTATTGAAGTTTGAAAAACACAAAGAATATTGGATTTTGAAACAATAAGAACTTTTTTCATTAAAGTGATATCAAAAAAATAAAAACAATGTTTCACAGATAATGTTCTGAGCTATATTGTATATAAATTTAGAGTCTTAACTGTCACTACAGTCTGAGTGGTTCTATCCCGCGTAAACCGTTTTTGCTATGTTGTGCATTTGTAGTGGTAAATGTTTGAAGTAGACACCAGAATTTCTGAACATAATATAGAGTAGAAAATTATCCATGCAACTGCCTATATTGTAGACAAAAGATTTAAAACAAAGATGATTCAATTTTCTATCGATTAGGATCAAAAAGTGTTTTTCGGGAAAAATTAACTTACAACAAGACGTGTGTACTAAGCCATCGATATAAGAATTAAGAGTATCTATTTATTTATATTAATTAATACTTTTACCTTGATGACGATCCGACGATGACAAGCCCGTGAATAATGCAAAGTAAATGAAACAAATAAAAGCATGTATGGTATACATACGTACAGTTTCAAGAAAGAAAATGTTAAGCGGTAGATAATCGGCAACGATCGGTGATAATGTGATATTATGGGAAAACTGGATCGCCTGCTGTTAATATCTATTTTTAACACGTTCGACGTCGAAAGCGAGCGCATCGTCGTCATTCGTTATCGGGCGGACTGATTTCAGTATTTCATGTACTACGTAGTAAAATAATATAAATAATATACGATAACATATTATGCAAAATTTAAATAATTTTGGATTTTTGAAAACTAATTTTTGTTATATTTCTCAAGTGCACATATTCGCTTAGCCAACTGCACATTTTATATATCCTAATGCACAATTAGTGTCCTACTGCACGTTACAATAAAGCCTGTTGGAATCATTGCCGTATATTTATCGAAATCCATTTTTGATTCGGTTTTATTATTTGGCAATTTATTTGTTAATTTATTTGTTTTCCTTTGTGTTACACCTAACTCTACGGCCCTCGTCCCACTAGGGCGACGCAACGCAACGCGATTATAAATAAATATCGTGCGATAATCGTTTGTTTAATAAAACACGGGTTAATATATTGGAGACCTCCCACCGACGCGATGCGACGTGACTGCGACGCGACACGAAAGCAACTTATCGCGCGCGACTAGTGCTGTCAGTCGCTTGATAAAAGTTGCCTGGTCAACCACATGACTTTTTCTAATAACATAATTAATTATATTATTATTTGGCAAATATCACTTACAATATGGCAAAAACCAAAGAAGAAAACTTAACAATAAAACTAGTTGAAGCCGTAGAGCAATATCCCTGCTTATATAACTTCAAAATACCTGAATACTCCAGAAGGGACATAACAGAAAAGGCCTGGTCAAAGGTAGCAGAAGAAGTCAAAGAGTCAGGTAATAATATTTGTATTTTATTTTTATTATAAGTGCTATAATATATTTAAAAAAAAGTAAATCAAATTTACAAAATTATACCTAGTACTTGCGAGTAACAAACTAAAAATTATATTAGATTATAAATTGTATTATATTATTTATTTTATTACATTATTTATATTAGTAAATCATTATAGATATGAACAATTTTAGAAATCACACTATACTCATTTGAAACGAAATAATAATATAACGTAGATAGGTAATAATGTATAGTTTTTAATAATATTAGGTAATCCGTTAATCATTTACGGTAAATAATAATATAATATAAAAAATAATATAATATATTTAATCATTTAATGTATTATTGTATATTTTCTGTTTGAAATTCTATTAATAAAATACCCTTGTGTAATACTGTAATGCAAAAATCTATAAATAATTATAATGACCCATTATTAGACTTTATTTTATTATTATTAAATATTATTTATAAATATAAGGTTATGAATATTAGATATTATCATTTTATCAATTTATTTATATCGTAATGACTATCGTAAAAACTATACACAGTTATTCCACTGCCATGGCAGTGATGCATAGGGTTTAACAAAATATGAAGCCAAATATTCTCTGAGATCACTCGCTGTTTGTGTCCTCGGCAACTCATTTTGATCTTGGTTGTCCATGATAAACTCGTTGGGTACTTGGAAGTCTTGTGAATTATTTATATCCAAATCAATAGAAGGTATATACTGCCGACCTTCCCTTTTACGTATGAAATTGTGGAGAATACATACTGAACGTATTATATTGCTTATGGTAGTTTCATTAGTGCATCGTATTGGTGACATCAATACCTGAAATTTTTGTGACATCATGCCAAACGAACACTCAACAGTTTTTCTACCTCTACTGAGTCTGTAGTTAAATATTCGTTTTTTATTTGTTAATGTTCTTCGTGGGTTTGGTCTCATTAAATTTTTTTTCAAAGGGAACGCTTCGTCGGCTACGAAATAAAATGGAAAATTAATTTCGTTAGGGTCATTAGGCAATGGTTTTGGATTTGGCAAATTTAAACCATCTCTTTCAAGCCAACGACCCATTCTTGATGCTCGAAAAATACCACCATCACTATTTCTGCCTGCGAAACCAGTTTCTATCATGATGAAGTTTCCATCTGCATCACTGCAAGCCATTAAAACAATTGAATGGTATGTCTTATAATTGAAGTTAGTTGATCCTGTATTTGGAACTTTTTGTATTCTTATGTGTTTTCCATCTATAGATCCTACACAATTTGGTAAATTCCATAATCTGTAATACTGATTAGCTACACTCATCCATTTTTCTTCAGTTGGCATTGGCATGTATTCGTCAACTAAACATTCCCATATTTTTTTTGTAGTTTCCGATATTATTTTACTTATTGTGTTAGCACCTCGAGCAAAATAAAATGCTAGGCTGGAATAAGTAGATCCTGTTGCCAGGTACCTAATGTAAAAAAAGTTTTCATTACTTTTTATTTTATACATTTCCTCTTTAAGTATAAAAGTATATAATTAATGTTTTATTATTTTATATTTTATATATAGTTACATTTTGTAAAGAAAAATGGAAAAACCTAAGAACTGTCTTTGTCAGAACTAATAAATCAGCACCTAGTGGATCTGCTAGAAAATCAAAGAGGCCGTACTATTTAAATGAACATTTGCAATTCCTTTTACCATATGTAAAACCTAGCACTGATTTGACTACTTCAGGAAATCTTCCTTCTCCCACTCCAGATCACGACATTTTATTAGAAAATAATGAACAAAGCGACGCTGAAGACCAAGATGAAGATCTCGTTCAACAAGAACAACACGTTAGTGACAAAATCATAAGTGAAAACCAAGAAAAAGTTCGTAGTCCTGAAGAAAAAACAAAAGGTATTAAGAAACGAAAGAGTGAACTTAGTCAAGCTGACCAAAGTTTAATTGATTTTGTGAAAATGAAGAAAACTCAAATGTGCGGAGAAGATCCTAGAAGAATGTACCTTCTTAGTTTATTACCTGATGTTAACGCCATGACCGATAAACAGATGAGAATGTTTAAAAAAAAAGTATCAAATTTGATTGATGACATTTTAACTGAAAATCCAACTCCTCAAAATCAAACACCGACTTTAAACACTTTATCTAATACTCGTCCTCAGACTGCATTTTCTAATTACTCCGGTTCGTCATTATATACATATAATAACTCACACAACAGTTTCACGCCAATCCCCTCTCCTGAAGAAGTTACCTCACAAATATGCAACCAAAACGAACACTTAATAGATGATTTGCTGTACATTGGCTAAAAGAAGTTTATTACGGGTACTACCTGTTACATTAAAGTTCATGAAAATTATTTAGTATACTTAATTTTATTTTCTATTTCTATTTCTACATTATTATTATGTGTATGTTAATAAAGTGTTAATAAGTAAATAAAGAAAAATTACCTCAATGTTATCATTAATCTTTCACGCACACATACACAACGACGGAAATGTGTGTCTTGTTTTTCAATAGCCGGTCCCACTTTTTCTACAAGTAAGTTGAAACTTTCTTTCTTCATGCGATAAAAAGATTGAAATTTTACATCGTCTTGCATTAATTCATTAGCGGAAACAAATATTCGACAATTAATATTATTTTGTATGTATGGATGTATCCAATATTTCCTTTTTTTTTTAATTTTACGGTGTTGATACCAATATGACACAATACAAAACTCGTCATCTTCAGAAGACGACATGATTGCTACTGACTACTGAGCAACTGCCGAGACATCGCCTATAGTGTGCAGAAATCCTGACGTCAGGTCGTACGATATTTTTGTTGGCAACTATTTTTTTAAATCGTGTCAACGTCGCGTCACGTCGCGTCGCCCTAGTGGGACAAGTCCCTACGTGTACTACGTCCGAATCGGATCGCGTTCCTCCTCTTCCTGACCTAGTAGTTACGGGTGATACAATTAGTTCTGTACAGGGTCTTCCTCCTATTTTTTGTAAAAATCTATCTTTGTTAAAATCTTTTGCCCCTGGATAACACCCAGTTAAATCTAAATCGATTAATTGTTCAGTTTTAACGGTACAGTTTGTATCGGCAACAACTGCAGCAACCTCGTCGGTTTGTTCTCCTTGTATGCCTACTTCCCTCGTACTATTCTCAACTATTTCGGTTAAATTGTCCGTTGAACTATCCGTTATATTATCTGAACCTTGATTCATCAATATATATTTTATTCATTAAAATCGTCGTAATTAAATAAATGTATTTATTTATTTGTTAATTTTATTTTTCCAATAAGCACAATAATGTATTTATTTATTTATTCTTCTATTAAATAATTGTTATCTATATTTAAATAAAAATATCTTACTACTATTTATTAAATACCAAATTTAATTTTAATATTGCGACGCGCGTCCTATATAGAATTGATTTTTATCTCGATATTAAAATTAACTATTAATATACGATTTATTTATTATTCGTTAGTTTTACTAAAATAATTATTACATAAAATAGTTGTTAATATTTATTTATTACTATTTCTTATTTCTAGGCTAGAATTAAAATTACTTGTATACTTTTTCCAATTTATTATTATTTCAATATTTCCTCATATATAACTCTTTTTCCCTTTAATTATTCTTTTTAATTATTCCATAAAAACTCTTGTGGTTTTTTTTTACTGTGTGCACACTTCCAATTATTCACTTTATTTACTTCAATATTTTCAAAAACTCACATAAAACACGGTTTAATTACCTGTATATAATATTCCTTTATTTATTTCAATATTTCCACAAAATACGGTTTAATCACCTGTAGATAATATTCCTTTATTTATTTCAATATTCCCAATTTAATATATTTTATAGCTCAATTATACTTTGTAACTTTTTATAACACTTTTTTTTTTTTAACAAAATTCCCTTATTTCCTATCCTCTTAAAAAAAATTTGTATTTCCTAATACAAATATAATATATTTCACTTTATTTTCACACAATTTTTTTTCCTTTATAATATATATATATTCTTCTTTATTTTTCACAAAATTATTTTTTTTTCCTTTTTTTTTCACAAAATTATCTATTCTTCCTTTCTTTTCACCAAATTATTTATTTACTTTTTCCTCACTTATTTTTATATATACCTATATATTACCCTATTGTATTATTTCTTTGAGTAGTTAACATATATATATATACACCTTCACCAAAAATTATACGATTGATATAAAATCAAAAGGAGACGTGACTTATAATATAATCTACCAAATTCTAACACTATTATCAATACAACTTACATAACTGCGGCTTGTGCTAGTGCGTCCATGTTGTCTTGTACTGATCTGCTTGGCTTGCGTTCTACTGTAGATTCTTCTTCTCTGGAGTTATTGGAAGGTGATCAGTCCTCCAATGGTGGTTCGAATGAATTGCCTCCTCAGGAATCCTTGCAGTTGATAATTTTAACGAGAAAAAAAATTTTTCTTCGAAAAATTTCTTCGACTTAGGGCTTCCTGTTGCGGTAGAGAAGACTGCGCCAAAATTGTAGTGATCCAGCCCACAGATCGTGGTGTATAAGACAAGAGATAACAGGGTGTAAATAATTCCAAGTCAATTGTAGAATATTATGAACATAGACTTTATTTTGACATGTATAACTGATAGATTATTTTTAATACACTGAAATTTGTCAGAGAGTCGACTGGCGTGAAGGTGCTCGTACTGGCTCTGGTAAATCACGTCTGAATATCGGGTGGATGGGTCCCTGTTTTATAGGCCTACTCTCCACTCTTCTCCTAGCGATTAGATAGCGCTGACCCCGTTTACTATTGCACGTGTGCGTGGTCATGGGTTTCCAGGAAACGGTCGCCCGGTCGTGTCGGTCGAGAGATTAGAGTAAAGATATTGTAATATTATATTTTAACATTTTTATAGATGTTTCATGTTTTGAACTCTTTTTATTTATATTTTCGTAACGCACTTTCGGTAGTCGGATTCTCAGAACTACGCACTCGATTTCTTATTGCGTTGTTGTTCTTAAATCCCCGCGGTCGACAACTTCCCAATGTGAATAATTCTCATATTATGTCCCCCTCGCTATCTAGCCTTTAATTATATGCGTATATGGCGGGACGTCAGTACATAGCAATACTATACTACCAAAGTAATCCCCCAATTATATGTTAATGTATTTAATTATTGAATTAATAAACGGAAATGGCGTTCAAGCTATTTTGTCCACAAAATTGTTTATTTTCATTTAATGAGTTATACTGACGTTGAAACCTCTATATTGCTCGACCTACAACACACTATGCTGTTGTGTGATATTATTATTGAATTTTCATTTAATGTTTCCTCTATTAAATTGAAATTAATATAAATAAGGCAATATATCATAAAATTGTGAAAAAATTATAATAAATAAAAATAATATATTAATGAATATTCATAGCTATTCTTTTTACACAAGCTGTATATCTACATTGAAGTATACTGCTGTAACTGAATTCTAAATTCTGTGTCTGTAATAATAACACGGAACAATTGCAGTTTAGCTACCATGTGATTTTTTCAAAATTTTTTTTCGAAACCTAGGTAAATCGATGTTTTAAAAATGATGGTGGCAAAAAAATATGCGCAAACACTTAGTTTTTGAGTAATAACCGTTTGAAATTCGATGATTACCGATTTTTGAATTTTTGTTGCACCGAGTAGGTGAGTCGCTGCGCTCACTCGGACAATTAAAAACAAAAATATCCCCCGGTTTGCTATGCAACATCTCCCCAAGTCGGCCACAGGGTTAAAGAAATTGAATTTTTTTGAATTTATTTTTTTGCCAATTACAGGACCATTTATTTTATATTTACGATATTTGGATTTAGGTTATATTTGTTTAATTGAATATTCCCAGTTACGTGATTACCAGGCGGATAACATATTATGTCTGTAAAAGAACTTTAAAAGACATTAAGATAAAAATTTTAGGTCATAAACTCGTATCTATCAACTTATTTAATGTTTCGGTTGGGCTTGAAATCACCTTAATCGGCAGTATGCGATCTGCATTATTTGTGAAACATGTCATCTCTTAATCTCTTAAATATTTTTGAACTTTTCTCGTGCAAAACAAACGGGCCCGTTAGTATCGAAGTACTGGAAAAACTTCAAGAATGGAATTTAATTTACAAAAATGATACACTCTAGTGTAATGAAGGGCATTTTCTCCGTTTGTGTCCCTTGAATAGTGCTATCGATGGATTTGTATGGCGATGCCGAGAAAAAAAAAGCAAAAGGTCTTCGAGATGCGAATTTTTTCAATCAATTCGCAAACACACTTTTTTTTTAAATCTCATCTGTCCCTTTTTCAAATCACGTCTTTTTCTTATTTGTGGCTTAAAAATGTTTCTCTGTGTTTTATAATGGAGCAAATATCTATTTCGGAAAATAATTCAGTCGATTGGGCAGCTTTTCACAGAGAAGTCGTTTTTGACTGTATGGTTATACATCATGAGAAGATTGGTGAGTTTGTAAAATGAAAATGAAAATGATAATAATATGTAATATAATATTGTATAATTTGTGGATTTGTATTTAAATATCAGAGTTAATAAAATAAAGAAACGGTTTTAAATCGTTTAATACGTAATTTTATATTTGTTTTAAACGTGTTTTTTCAATTCATTTTGATTAAAAATAAGCACGTTTCATGACACCTTTCAAAAAATAAAACGTATAATTTGCGTTAAATATTTTGTAGTTTTGTTTTTATAACAACATCAACACTTACATATTTTTCATTTTTTATTAGATACCTACATACAAATCCAAACTCTTAACAGTAATAAACAGTAATACTATTTTAACTGTTTTAAATAATAACTATAAAAGGTGGAATAGGCAAAACAGTCGAAATGGTCGACGTAAATACCATCGTGGCCATCGAGTAGAAGGCCAATGGATTTTTGGAGGAATTGAGCAGGAATCTGGGCTTTGTTTTCTTGTTCCTGTTGAACGTCGTGACAAGGTCACATTGTTGTCATTAATTAAAGACTGGATATTGCCGGGCACGTGTATAATTAGTGATTGTTGGAAGGTACAATTAAATTAAACCTATACAAACAAATGAAAACTAGAAACTAAAAACATATAAATTATCCATTTATTTTTTGCTAACATCTTAGGCTTATGATTGTTTAGAAGAGGAAGGTTTCCGACACTTGACAGTTAATCACTCAATTCAATTTGTCAACCTAGATACCGGCGCACATACCAACAATGTTGAAGGCATGTGGCGCCATGCAAAAGCATCACTGTCACAGTACTGCCGCAAAAAAAAAATATTACTGTGGTTACATGGCAAAATTTATGTTTATTAAGCGTTGTCGTTACCAAAAGTTGGACGTATTGACAGAATTTTTTAAGTGCGCTGGTCAACTTTACGACCCACTCTTGATGAATGACTACCCTAATTATGAGGACAATTATGAGTCTGATGAGAGTAGCATTGATACAGACAATGAATAAAACTACCTAATTGTTAAATATGTAAATGAAATAATAAAAACAGTTTATATAATTATATTATGCATTTTAAAAGTTTCATAATTTAAAAACTAATCATTAGCATTACGCGTGGTAATATCCAGCGTATATCTGAAAAATATAACCGGAGAGCCTGTAGGGCGCAACTATAGGCGCAAATAGGGGGAGCTTTAGAGGCCAAGCCCACCAAAAATGTCCGTAGGCCTTCCAAACATTTCCTACATTTTGTTTTAAGCTTATTCAGGATCTAGGACATCTCGCCGCCGACATTTCTCGAGTTAAAAATACCACCACAACTCGTACTAGAATATACCAGAGATCCAGCAGTGACAACACCAATAAGAAATAATTTACAGTGATGCCTTGCTATACTCCGTACCACGAGAGAACTCATACGGCTAGCGCATCCAAATGATTGCGCTCCGTCGTACCGAGGCCAAATTTCCCCTACCATACCACCAGAGAACGCATACGGCAATCAGCTGATTAGTGTATACAGCGGCTCAAATAATTAAAATATTACGTGCTCGTGCAATCACGGATTCACGCATATTACAAAATATTGGTTCATATTATTATCGCGAGCAATAAAAAAAACATTTTTTCGATTTTAAAATTGCAAATAAGTATTTTATTAATTGCATTGTCAAAACAATATGTACAACAATAAAAAATACAAATAATAAATAATACTGCAGTTATATAGTCAAAAATAATAATTAAAAAATATACATGTACAAAATCGTAAGATTGATTTAAAAACAATAAAAAATACAAATAATAAATAATACTGCAGTAATAGTCAAAAATAATAATTAAAAATATAAATGTACAAAATCGTACTATAGGTTACAACTTAAGCCATAGTCATAATTTAAAAAAAAATATTAACTAAATTAAATTAAATTAAAATTAAATCATTTTACAATAAATGTTTTTTATTGTCAAATGATTTAATCGGAATCGAAGTCTGAACTTGTGTCACCTGTAATCGTTAAGACGTGTGATCCTTGTTCATCGTCCAGAAGTTGATCAGATATAACATCAATTTGACAAAATTTATCTTCTTCTTTTATTACATGGGCAACAAAATTTTTCCACATATCTGGAGTAACCCGTTCTACGCCTTCTTCCAATAGTTTACGAACATATTATAATTTGTATGTCGTATTATTCAAACGGACATAATTTTTTTACAGATGCCCACGCGAGCTCTATAGGGTTTAATTCACAATGATATGGGGGTAAACGTAACACAGTTTTATTGGCAGCCTTTGCTAATTCATCTATTACATATAGATCGTGATGTGGCTTTAACTCTTGAACACGTTCCAATAATTGAGCTTTGACTTTTGTGTGATCAACTATCTCACCTTTATTTTCGAGCCAGTTGATAATATCTACCTTCTTCCAGGATATGACAGGGCATGAATCCATCTTCACCGAATGATAAAACGCATTATCCATGACGATCACGGCATTTTCGTTCAATAATGGTAAAATATTGTTGAACCACTCGTAAAAATTGTCACCGTTCATTTCGTCATGGTAATCTTGGGTATTTTTTTTTGACTCGAATCAAAAGAAACCGCCAACAACAAAGCCGTCTGATGACCCGATGTGCACAACAATGAGCCGCTTCCCCTTACCAGACGGTTCCTTTTGTCCAGTTGAAAGGCCCCGAAGAAATGCGTCCCTTGTCGATTTGACTGTTTTGTCCACCTATGTTCGTGTAGTAGTTTCGCCTGCATTTACCCATGTCTCATCTAAGTAATATATTGGTCTACCTAACCGACGGTTAGTTTCTAAATATCTTCGACGCCAACAGACAATATCATTACGTTCAATTAATTCCGAGACTTACGAACATACTCGAAATTCAGATGTTTTAGAATTCTGTACAAGGAAATTTTTGAAAAATTCGGTAAACTGTCATCTTCGTTTATTACTGTTAACATTTTATTTAAAGTCGGGATTTCACGGTTGTGCCAAAACTGATGCACTTTTTGCCTGATAGCATTTTGGTTGAACTCGTCAATTTTATCTGTTACCTTCGGTCTGATTTTGGTCTTGTTTGGTGATGTTACAATTCCTTTGTTGCGATATTCTGACAGAGTAATGCTCACAGTCCGTTGTCCGACACCACTTTCTTCGGATATATTTTATATGACTTCTTTTGCCGTCAATTTTGGCCCATGTCCAGTTGATTGTTGCGCCATTTTGGTTTTATACAAATTGACAATCATCATTTTTTGACCAGAGCCAACAAACTAAAATAACAGTTGCATTAGTATAATATAATACAGAATAGTATATTATCATTGATTTTAGAATATACAGATAAGCGGTGATATAGGGAGATTCGGCGACTACAATTTTGTTCTCAACAGAGGTCGTTGTAGTATTTACCGTGAACATTTAATTATTTTTTCTATTGAACCTTTTCTATTTTTGTTGATACCTACCTAAGATATACATATATTATTATTGCGTCGCGCGCCGTACATATATATAATCTAAAATCAATGATTCTACAACCGGTTATTACTTTGTTTCCTTTAAAACACAGTCACATACTCACATAGGTATTATATAATATAATCTTATATTGTTTATAAATGAAGATAAATAAAGATTAAATTGTTTATTCATGATAATTCATTTTTAATTTTTAAATTGTATGTTACAATCGTAAATTATTGATTTATAATAAATTTAAAACTAATAAAAAATAATAAAAAATTACAAATAATTATTAAAATCCAGGAGTTATACAATTAAAGTTTAGTAAAATAATTACACATTTACACGTCACATTTACATAGGTACCCTTTTATCTAAATATGACTCAGAATTTTTAATTTTGCTAATTTAATTTGATGAGATGTAGTTGAAAATGTTTTTGAAGTCCTAAAAATTTTACATATTAATAATTTTTCTAAGATAAAAACGTAATGATCGGCGCACTTATTATTTTTTTCATCGATCCAGTTTGATATTAATTCATCCTTTTTTAAAACTGTCAATAAAGTAGATCTTAATTTTTTCTTGTATTGAAGTTTCTGAAATGTTGTTTCAAATATTGACAAAGTACGATCTATTACGTGATTTAATTGATCCGACGGCGCCATGAGTCCTGTATGTTTTTCGATATCATAATAATTTTTATGAATTAACAGTATTTGATTCTTATCACTCAAACTTTTTTCTACAATTAGATTTATCTTACATTCGATGCAATTAAATTTGTTAATACATTTATAAGCTAGGTATCCCGAAAAATATGTCACAGAACAATCTTGTAACGTAATAGATTCATTTATTTTTTTCGTGTTTCATTTTTCTGATATTATTTTTGTGGGCGAAGAAGACGAAGACGAGGATGCTGTGTCCGAACACGATTCTGACTCTTCATTAATAGTTTTGTCAGGTGTAATAACATCTTGCACTAGGGCAGGATTGTCTATATTTTGACTACTTTCACAGTTGGTACCTTTTGAAGTGATTAAGGAAAACACGCATGTACTTCTAAATGAAGTTCTGATTGTTCTCGCCGTAGGATTATTATTATATCCGCCTTTTTGTCGGAAAATTGAAAAAAGGTTTTCTAGTGTATCTTGATTTAATCTATTTGTAAATAGAAACTGTATATTATTATTTTTCGATTCATCGTCAAAAAAACTCAACACTCCGTTTATAGTTTGAGTGAACCCGCTAAAGCACGGTGGGCGAGTTATTNAATATGTCACAGAACAATCTTGTAACGTAATAGATTCATTTATTTTTTTCGTGTTACATTTTTCTGATATTATTTTTGTGGGCGAAGAAGACGAAGACGAGGATGCTGTGTCCGAACACGATTCTGACTCTTCATTAATAGTTTTGTCAGGTGTAATAACATCTTGCACTAGGGCAGGATTGTCTATATTTTGACTACTTTCACAGTTGGTACCTTTTGAAGTGATTAAGGAAAACACGCATGTACTTCTAAATGAAGTTCTGATTGTTCTCGCCGTAGGATTATTATTATATCCGCCTTTTTGTCGGAAAATTGAAAAAAGGTTTTCTAGTGTATCTTGATTTAATCTATTTGTAAATAGAAACTGTATATTATTATTTTTCGATTCATCGTCAAAAAAACTCAACACTCCGTTTATAGTTTGAGTGAACCCGCTAAAGCACGGTGGGCGAGTTATTTTGCCTTTAATATTAATTTTGTAAAGATCATTGAAATAATTTTTTGAATTTTCTAGAAATGGTTTAACTACACCTGAATTGGTTAATGCACAATTATATGGATTGTCACTGAATAAATTTCTACTGTTTAGACAGTCAAATAGATTGTTCATAAAATCTATAAAATCTGCTGTATCGGGTGCAGTTTTACTTTTTAATTCGGCTGTAGATATACATGTTCGTAAAGCAGATGCCATTGAGTGGCTAAAAATTTGAGTAGCCAATTTAACGCTCATTTTCTGAAATGAGTTTGGATGTATATGAGCCTCTGTTATTTTAAGTAGAGCGTTACTTTTTTTATTTTTTTTGTCAATATTATAAGTTGCTATGACATCGTTAAAAGATATTATTTTTTCATTTTTTTTAAATGTATTTCCCATTAAATTATTTCTTACACTTTTCAGGAGATGAGGCGTGTCAAATAAAGAAATAATTTTATTTTCATTTACATAAAAATAAGGCTTATTTTCCGTGACATTTAACGACTTCAGGGCACTTTGGTTATTCGACCCTTGATCACAAATAATAACTTTGGGTAAAATACCAATATCAAAAAGTTCTTAAAATACATCGATAATAAGGTTTTTTAGAACTGCAT